GTCCTAAGGTGAGCACAAAAAGAACAGAAATCTCGTGTGGAGCACAAGGGCAAAGGCTCATTTGGCTTCCATTTCCAGTAAGAATACCAAAATGCACGGAAATGAGCAATGCGGATGACAATAAACCAGATTGCAGTATTCCACTGAAATCAGATAACTTTGAGGCAGAACTGAAAGCAGATTGCAAACCAAGGTATCACCAAATAAGCACAAGCAAAGCATTGAAGTCACATGACAATGAAAGCCCCCTTCTCGCCGCCAATCACCAATGTCAACAATGTAGGTCTCCTACATTGGCGCTCGGTGCCCAGACTACAAAGAAACAGCTCCTGTCGACCTAGACTCCTAACTACAGCAGGTTTGCAATGAAGATCAGCAGTCCGATGACAAATGAATACTCCGAGTGAATGGCCCGCTTCTTTTCCACCAGGTAAGTGCCTCGTCGCACCGCTCAGCCCTGCTTATCCCTGCACAGTCCCCTTTGCCCAAGGATCCCCGCTACTCCTCATCCGGCAAGGCGCCCATGCAGCCCGGCTATGGCTGCTTGGCGCTGCCCTGCTGCTTCACCCAGAGCTCCCATGCACTCTGCCAGCGCCTTCTTACCTCTGGCCTGGCTGGACTGGCTGTGCCCTGTCCCAGTACCTGTGCCCTGGAACCATTCCGGAATCCGCCAGGGGCGTAACTGCCTGAGCCCTGGGCCTCAGCATCTTCAACCAGCCACGGGTTGAGCCCTACCGGTTGGTTGGAGATGCTGCGTGCCTCAACCAGCCTACGGGACCCTATAGCAGAGTTTCCTCTCGCCATGGTCCTAAAAATTCCTATTACTTGCTTATAGTCCTATAGATCATGGTGTGCGGCCTGAAGTAAGGCCACTGACAAAATTTGCAGACCCGCCTTCTCTTAGGGTCGGCAGGGCCTTTTCCCAAGCATGCCGAGGGGATTACTCGCAAAAAAAAAGCAAAAAAAAAAAAAAAAGATTGACAAAAAATTATCGTAATGATCCAGAGGCGTACATCACGAAGTTGCCTGGTGCCGCATGCGACCCTTGCAATCAGACAGTTTCGCATGCAACCCTTGCAATCTGACATTTTCCTTGGCAAGAAAAGAAAACTCGGCTCAGAGCTCGTCAGCCTTTCCTTTTTTTTTTGTTTTTTTTCTCAGCTTCTTTCCTTGGTCCAACCCAAGAAAGGAACAGTTCAACAGTCTAC